ACTACAGCAAGTTTGCTGGCTGCCATCCCCACCTCCACACCACTCCTCCACCTTGGAGAACCTAGGCTGGCTGAGCCAAAGTGCATCCTGGGTGGGAAGCACTGATTCCTCTAGGTATTACTGTGACCCTGCTTCAGTCCTTTGCATATAGATGACTTCCATTTGGCCAAGCTACTGGGCATAAACAGTGTATCAGTTAACTCAGGTTACCATAACAAAACAGCACAGATGGGTAGCTCAGACAACAGAATTTACTTCTCACCGTTCTGTAGGCTGAAAGTCTAAGATCAAGGGTCAGCAGGTTTGGTTTCCTTCTGAAGCCTCTCTCCTCGCTTTGCAGATGGCCATCTTATTGCCGTGTCTTCATATGGCCTTTTCTCAGTGTCACCCCTAAACAACCTAAGTGTCCATTGATGAATGAATGGGTATATATATACACATATATATTTTTCTTCCATAAAAAAGAGGAAATTCAACTGTTTATGACAACGTGGATAGACCTGAAGGCATTATGCTAAATGAAATAAATAAGATAGAAAAAGACAAAAACTGTACGATCTTGTATGTGGAATCTTAAAAACAAAACTCACAGAAAAAGATAGCGGAGCCTCAGGTTGGGGAAGGGGGACTTGAGGGAAGGTGGTCAAAAGGTACAAATTTCCAGTTATAACTGAGTACTAGGGATGTCAAGTACAACATGATGACTGTAGTTCACACTGCTATATGGTACATAGGAAGGGTGTGAAGAAAGTAGATCATAAGAGTTTTATCATCAGAAGGAGAAAAAGGTTTTTCTTCCTTTCATTGGATTTATATGAGAAGATGGATGTTAGTTGAACCAGTTGTGGTAATCATTTTACAACATATGTAATCAAACCATCATGTTGTATACCCTAAACTTACAGTGATGCATGCCAATTATTTCTCAATAAAACCTTTTCTATAGAGAAAACAACAAGTTAAAAAGTCCCAAAATGGAACAAGTGATTTTATAAAATATGTTTTGGGGAGTATTTTTCCCTCACACATAGTTTAAAGTAATTCAGTACCTTCAACCTCCACCTTAACAATGTGGACATTAAAACACGAACCTATTTACATCATGGGCAGATTTAATTTTAATATTTGTCTAGCATTTAAAAAATAATATATATGTATTTTTTTATTTTTAGAGAAAGAGAAAGGAAGGGAGAGAGAAAAGAGAAGCATCGATGTGAGAGTGCAACATCGACCAGCTGCCTCCTGCATGCCTCACACTGGGAATTGAGCCTGCAACCCCAGCATGTACCCTGAGTGGGCATTGAACCAGCAACCCTTTGGTGCATAGGATGATGCCCAATAAGCTGAGCCACGCTGTCCAGGATTATATTTGTCCAGCATTTAAATTTTACTTTACTGTTTCAAGAACATTTTATATGACATCTACCCTCCTAATATTTTCATTTTTTAGAGAGAGCGAGAAACATTGATTTGTTGTTCCACTTATTTATGCATTCATTGGTTGATTCTTGTATGTGCCCTGATGGAGATTGAACTCACAACCTTGGAGTATCTGAACTATCCAGCCAGAGCTACCCTTTTTTTTTTATCCTCACCTGAGGACATTTTTCCATTTTTTGCTCAGATAGAGTGGGAGGGAGAGAGAGGGGGAGAGAGAGAGAGAGAGAGAGAGAGAGAGAGAGAGAGAGAAACATCGACGTGAAAGGGACACATTGAGTGGTTGCCACCCACATGACCCAACCAGGGCTGGGGACAAACTGCAACCGAGGTACATGTCCTTAGTGGGAACTGAACCTGGGTCTCTCCAGACCGCAGGCCAAAGCTCTAACTGCTGAGCCAAACCGGCTAGGGTACCCTCTTAAATTTTTAAGTGTACAATACATCATTCCTGATGATAGGCACCATGTCACACAGCAGATCGTTAGAGCTTATTCATCTTGCTTGACTGACACTTTATGCCTTTGATGAGAGACTCTTCATTTTCCCTCCTCCCAGCCCCTGGCAGCCACCATTCTATTCTTTGAGTATGAATTTGACCATTATAGATACTGCCTATAAGTGGAATCATGCCAAATGTGTCCTTATATGACTGGTTTATTTTCCTTAGCATAATGTCCTCAAGATTCATTCATGTGGTAGCAAATTGAAAAATTTTCTTCCTTTTTAAAGGCTGAATAGTATTTCATTATATGTATGCATCCGATTTCTTTATTCATTCATCTATCAATGGGCGTTTAGGTTGTTTCTACACCTTGGCTATTATGAATAATGTTGCAATGAACATAGGAGAGTTAGAATCTCGAGATCCTGATTTCAATTCTTTTGTATAATTACCCAGAAGTGGGTTGGCTGGATCATATGTCAGTTTCTATTGCAAAAATAATTTTTTTTCTTCTGTATTGATTTTTTAGAGAGAGAGGAAGGGAGAGGGAGAGAGAAATAGAAACACTGATGAAAGAGAACATTGATTAGCCACCTCTTGTATGCCCCCTGCTGAGGATTTGGCCCACAACCTGGGCATGTGCCCTGACCAGGAATTGAACTGGTGACCTCTTGGTGCATGGGTTGATGCTCAACCACTGAACCACTCCAGCTGGGCTCTATTTTTTTTTTTTGTTCAGGTAGAGTGGGAGGAAGAGAGAGGAACAGAGAGAGAGAGAGAAACATCGATGTGAAAGAAACACATCGAGTGGCTACCACCCGCACAACCGACCAGGGCCGGGGACAAACTGCAACCGAGGTACGTGCCCTTAGCGGGAACCGAACCCAGGTCTCTCAGGACCGCAGGCCGACGCTCTAACCGCTGAGCAAAACCGGCCAGGGCCAGCTGGGCTGTATTCTTAATTTGAATCTCTATACTGTTTTCCATAAGTGGTTGCACTATATTGTCAAAATATATGCATGAATTTATTTCTGGGATGTCTGTTCAGTTCCATTGGTTTATATGTCTGTCTGTACTGTACCATGTTGTTTTGATTACTGTAGCTTTGTAATATAATTTGAAGTCAGGAAGTGTAAGGCCTCTCAATTTTCCCCCCTCTTTCTCAGGATTGATTTGGCTATTAGTGGTCTTTTGTGGTTCCATATGAATTTTAGAGTGGAGTCTTTAGGTTTTCTATCTATAAAATCATGTCATCTGTAAACAGGGAAATTTTACTTATTGTTTTTCAATTTAGATGCCTTTTATTTATCTTTCTTGCCTAATTGATCTAGCTAGGACTTTTAATACTATGTTGAGAATGGGTATCCTTGCCTTGTTGCTGATCTTAGAGGAACAACTTTTAGTTTTTGCCCCTGAGTATGATGTTTAGCTATGGACTTTTTTTTTATTTTTTATGGTGAGGCTATTTATTTTAATTCTAGTTTGTTGAAAGGTTTCTTTGTTTTTGTTTTTGATCATAACATGGTGTTGAATTTTGTCAAATGCTTTTTCTGCATCTATTGAGATGATCATGTAATTTTTGTTTTTGTCCTCACCTAAGGACATTCCTGAATTTATCTTCAGATAGAGCAGGAGGGAGAGAGGGAGGAAGAGAGAAAGAGAAACATTGATGTGAGAGAGACACATCGAGTGGTTGTCACCCACACGATCTCAACTGGGGCTGGGGACAAACTGCAACCGAGGTATGTGTCCTTAGCGGGAACTGAACCCAGGACTCTCTGGTCTGCGGGTCGACGCTCTAACTGCTGAGCCAAACCAGCCAGGGCTGATCATGTAATTTTGATCCTTTATTCTGTTAATGTGGTGTATCACATTGATTGATTTTCATTTGTTGAAACATTCTTGCATCAGAGGAATAAATCCCACCTGGTCATGATCCTTTTAATTTTTTTTTTTTTTTTTTTTTTTATCCTCACCCGAGGACATTTTTCCATTTTTTGTACAGATAGAGTGGGAGGGAGAGAGAGGAAGAGAGAGAGAGGGAAGCATCGATGTGAAAGGGACACATCGAGTGGCTGCCACCCGCACGACCAACCAGGGCCGGGGACAAACCGCAACCGAGGTACATGCCCTTAGCGGGAACCGAACCCGGGTCTCTCCGGACCGCAGGCGGACGCTCTAACCGCTGAGCCAAACCGGCCAGGGCTGGTCATGATCCTTTTAATGTGTTGTTAAATTTAGCTTACTAGTATTTTGTTGATGATTTTCGCATTTGTATTTATCAGGGATATTGGCTTGCAGTTTTATTTTCTTGATGTGTCTTTGTCTGGCTTTGGGATCAGAGTAATTCTGGGCTCATAAAATGAGTTTGGAAGTGTTTCCTCCTTTTCAATTTTTTGAAGAGTTTGAGAAGGATTGGTGAAAATTCTTAATTAAATGTTTAGTATACTTCACCTGTGAAATCATCTGGTCCTGGCCTTTTCTTTGGTGGGAAAACTAGTATTCCATGTCCATACTAGTTTAAGGTCTGTTCCGACTTTCTATTTCTTCAGTACTTTGGGGATCCCCCTTGGAAAGTTTGGGGTCTGGGTGAATGAACCACTCTCTTCTCTCTTGAGTGAAGCTGGAGGCTAGGGGATTTATTTCCTGACTTTGCTGTGTCAGGCACAGAGTCATTGTAGAGAGAGTGTCCTGAATCTCTCTCTTGCATACATTTCAGTGAGTCTGGATTTGAGTTCTCCTGGGACACAGGAAACTTACAATTAGTTTCTGATTTCTCATAAAGGGAACCAAACCAGTTTGGCTCAGCGGTTGAGCTTTGGCCTGCGGACCAGAGAGTCCCAGGTTCAGTTCCCGCTAGGGGCACGTACCACACAAAAAAAGGGAATTTGTCCAGGAATTGCTGCTGAATTCAAATGTTTGTGGAGAGAAGAAGGGTCTCGGACTTCCTATTCTGCCATTTTGCTGACATCACTCCTCTGGAGAGGGAGATCTTTTTAACCACCCTCAATTATTCTCATTATACAATTTTAATGCTAAAGGTATCATTTGGGGGCTGAGTTTCATAATACTTTACTTATTGGAAATAATTTACTGACATTATCCTTATTCCACTTAGGTAATATGAAATATCCTATTTCAATAAAAACTGAACCCTGTATACAACCGAAGGGAAGCAAAGGATATTTGTATATTTCCTACATTCCAAGTAAGTCCAAAGTTTTTTGGGGTTTTTTGATCAGTTAAAAGAGTTCAAGAAATATCATGACAAATGATGTGTTCCAAATGTACATGTATTGGTTTTCTCTTGTTATAGAAATGACCACAATCTTAATATCTTAGAAGAGTACACATTTATTATCTCATAGTATGTGTGTGTCAGTAGTGTGGGCATGGCTTTGCTGTGCCTGCTTTAGGATCTCCCAGAAGGTTGCAGGCAAGCTGTCTACCGGGCCTGGTGTCTCTTCTGAAGGGTCAAATAGGGAAGGGTCCACTTCAGTTCTCATGTGAGTATCAACAGTATTCAGTTCCTGTCTGGCTGTTGGCCTTTTCAACATGGCTTCTTGCTTCATCAAACCCAGCAAAGGGGACAGTCAGTTAATAAGAGAGGAGTTGCCATCTTTTTTTTTTTTTAATCCTCACCTGAGGATATTTTTCTATTTATCTTCAGATAGAGTGGGAAGGAGGGAGGGAGAGAGAGGAAGAGACAGAGAAACATCTATGTGAGAGGGACATATTGACTGGTTGCCTCCTGCATGACCCCGACCAGGGCCGGGGACAAACTGCAACCGAGGTACATGCCCTTGACTGGAATCTAACCTCCACTCATTGGTCCGCAGGCTGACGCTCTCTGCTGAGCCAAACTCGCCAGGGTGAGAAGTTGTAATCTTGTGTAATGTAACCATTTTGCAGTGTCACTCTATTAATTTGGCTTTATCTGTTAGAAAAAGTCACTAGGCTCACCCTCTTGTGGGAGGGATTACATTATAGTACGGGGGTAAAAGTGGAAACTTGAGACTACTTGGTAACAGTCTACTTGGTATATCCTTTGTCAATCATTATCTATTCAACTGATAAGTAAACACCAGTTTGGGGGATGGTGATAGCATCGGGCTGGATCTGAGTGTTTGGGAAAACATGTAAAACCTTTATCCTCTCTTACCAATCAGCTTTGCTGTGTGAAGCCCTAGGATCCCAGCAAACCAGTTCTCATCATCCTCACTACCATTATTGTTTTCATCACCATCTGCATTCTGGCTCATATTTGGAGCTTATGCTTTACAAAGTGCCTTCACATACATAAGCTTAAATAAAGATTTCCCCCTGATTTTAGTTCCCGTTTATAAGAAAAGAGGTAGCTGAGAACCCAGAAATAATAGACAACAAACTTGTGTTTTAATATTTCTGAATTTAATTGTTCAACCTGCATTTGCAGACTTTGTTTATGCTTTCATTTATTCCCTGAAAAATGCATAGAATCTCTCAGGGCAATAGGAGGGACAGACCTGTAGATCACATGGCATGACAAGTGCAGGGACAGTGGTGAGGCTTGGTGATAACACAGAGTAGAGAACAATAAACTCTGTTCATGCCACTGTCTTGGCCAAGGGTAAAAGAAATCATTTTCTCCCTAAATTTTTGCCTGGCTAAATTTCTTCCTCTTTTCTTAGGTTGTGTTTTCTGGTCAGGTGTGCATCACCCCTAGATGTTTGACAGAAGTGATTATTGACATAATGAATGACCTCTTTTTCAAGCAAACCCCTTGCTACACACAGGAAGCAAGTTGTTTCCTTCCAGGCCCAAGTAGTAATAATACAATATGGTATCACTCAGACTTCTCTGAAAAGCAGATACCAAGAAGAGATTTATCAGGAGGAAATGCTGGTGAACAGTAAAGGGAAGAGGATGCCTAAGCAGGCAAGGAGAGGGTTCAGAGTGAGATACAGATCTGATACCTTTGGAATGAGAGAGGGCAGGAAGGAGAATTTGGTAAGATGGTCATCAGACCAAAATGCATCCTTGAGAACCTCTCAGCCATGTCAATGGGGAGCCTTAGAGCAAAGATTGCCTGTCACAGGTATCCCATGACAGGCAGGTGTAGGCTATCCCTAGTGTCCTTGAAGTGCTTGGTCATTAGAGGAGCAACCTGCTGGAGGTTGGCCTCTGGATGAGATAGTTATGAAGGTGAAGCAACTACCTTCCTCCCAGCCGGTTCTTTGGAAGGTAGGTTTGAGTAGCGTACCCCCTTGGCCACCACAGATACCTTAATCATTCACTAAGTATGACATTTATTTCACATTATATTAATGTGCTAACAAAATAATTATTCAGTTATATTTTTTTATAGAGCTTTGCGATTGTAACCTGAGTTTCCCTAGAATATACTAGAATGTTTGTGTAAAGTGTGGGGCCCCATTATAGAAGTCAACCTTGTGTTTCTTTTTTTAATTAATTAATTTTTATTATTATTGATTTTTAGAGAGAAAAGAAGGGAAAGAGAGAGAAAGCTAGAAACATCCATGATGCCCCCACTGGGGATCAGGCCTATAACCTGGGCAGGTGCCCTGACCAGGAATTGAACTGGCAACCTCTTGGTGCATGGCTCAACGCTCAACTACTGAGCCACACCAGCTGGATGAAGTCACTCTTATTTTTATGGTGCTATCTCTACTTCTATTCTGTAAAAGCTGTAAGTATAGCCCTGGCTGGTGTTGCTAAGTGGTTAGAGTGTCAGCCTGTGGACCGATGAGTTGCAGTTTTGATTCTGGTCAAGGGCATGTACCTTGGGTGCAGTTCATTCCTGGCCCTGGTTGGGTTGTGTGGGAGGCAACCAGTCGATGTGGCTCTATTACATCGATGTCTCTCTCTCCCTCTCTCTCCTTCTCTCCCACTCTATCTGATAAGAAGAAAAGTATCCTCAGTTGAGCAATTTAAAAAAAGCTATAAGTACAAATGGGAATAAAAAATAAGTTGGGAATAGAAATTATTTATTTTGAGACTTTATAGCCTTCCCAGTAAATTTTCTGTATGCCATTAACTGATTGACAAATACAGTTGGACCATAAGCCTCCCTGAAAATTATTTTTGGTAGTTCTGGAGTTGTCATAGGTAGGCTCAAAAACAGATTTCTTGGTAAGCACATGACAGCCACCAGTTTCTTATTTTTTACTCCAACATCCACAATGATATCCCTGGCCTGCTGAGCCATGTAAGTGGTACCCACCTTGACCATTTGTCATGTGCCTCACATGACCACAAGTGATGTCCAAGGGTAAGACGCTTCTCAAGATATAAACTGTTGAGATGTCATTTTCATTCTGGGAACATGCTGTATTCCATGCAGCAATGGAAGAAGGGCCCTTGTCCTGCCTTGTCCTTGGACACCCCAGCAGTAGTGCTGTGTTCCTGTGTCTCAGGAATTTCTCATGAAAACACCTCTTCAACTTCTGCCCACATCCATGCTTTTGGAAAGGTTCAGGCTAAAGTCCATGGACTGGACCGTGGGACCACTGTTTGAAGCAAACCCTGTTATGTTCTTTACAGTTTACCTCGTAAGGAGAGAAGTAGAGACCAAACAGGGAGTTTGGTGGTGCCTTAGGCTCAGAGTAATGAGGGCCTGCATTAAGACTGGTGATGGGGACGAAATAGAGACCAGTAAAATTTATTAGGATTGGAATTTCTGGTGCTGATTTGCTAATGAAGATGAGGAAATCAATTTAGGATGTGTAGGATGAGATGATTAGCAACGTTTGAATAGAGATATTGAATGTATATATGAGACAGTGCTCAGGAGGAAGGTTGAGACTAAAGATGACGATTTGGGAAGTAGCATCCTATGTGGCACTTAAAGCCAGGAGAGTGTGCAGAGTAAATATTGATGAAAACTGAGGATAGAACCCTCAGGAAGAGGAGTCAATGAACCAGACCGAGAAGGAGTCAGAGAGGTCAAAGGACAACCAGAGGAGAGTGGGAGCACCGACTCCAAACAAAGGAGAGTTGTTGTTTTTTTATCCTCACTCGAGGACATTTTTTGCATTTATCTTCAGATAGAGTGGGAGGGAGAGAGGTGGGAAGAGAGAGAGAGAAACATCGATGTGAGAGAGACACATCGACTGGTTGCCACCTGCACAACCCCAACAGGGGTCGGGGACAAACTGCAACCAAGGTACATGCCCTTAGTGGGAACCGAACCTGGGACTCTCCGGTCTGTGGGCCCATGCTCTAACTGCTGAGCCAAACCGGCCAGGGCCGAAGGAGAGTTTTGAGGAAGAAGCTGGCAGTTCTGTTAACCATAGCCAAGTTCAAGTTAAAGATGGAAAACTTTTCCTTTGATTGTGGCTACAATGAGTTGTGGTGACCTTATTAGGAAAATTTTTTCAGTGAGGTGGTGGTTACAATGAACTGTTTTCATTATAAAAAAGATTGTACATCTCTTCTAATTGGGCCAACTGAATAACTTGTAAAAACTGAGCGAAATGCATGTTTATTGGATTTTTCCATGTTAATTGGTAATAGGGAAATCATGAGGAAATAATAAAAGCTCATACACCTAATTTTTAATCAAAATGTTTAATTTTGCTCTCCAAGAAATCTTTCATTAAAAGTAGGTTGATTATCATCACCTACTTTCCTTTTGTTGAACTTCCTCCTAGAGTTGTACCTAGAACAGAAAAATTTGTATCTTCATTTGATTGCTTTCTCAAAAAAATAAGTTTCTCTATTTTTAGGCAAAGCATATAATTCTTACTGTGGAATATTCTATTTGATTATAATCCACTAGTTACTATCTCAGGACTCCAGTTTTCTCATCTACAGAACAAGGATCACAATAGCCGCCTTATAGGTAGTTATGGTGATTAATGAAATAATGTTGGAAAAGCACAGGGCATATTATAAGTATATGCTAAATGTTAATTATTATTTATAAAATACTCTCTTATTTGAGAGTCTAATGGGATTTCTTTTTCTTTTTAAGGGCGAGACATGAAAAAATTATATTTTAATCTGTATATAACTTTAAATACCCACAATCTTCCGATGCGCAAAGAAGTTCTTTGCCGAGGATCTGATGATGATTATTCTTTTTGTAGAACTCTAAAGGGAGGTAAGCATTTAATTTATATCACTCTCAGAATAGAATAGACTACTTTATGAGAATGTTATGAAAATTAAATACACTGAAAATATGAAGTTCCTTTTCTGATAATAACTCTTTATTTCCATTCAAAGTTTTTATTTTTAGCAGTTTAAACAACCATTTTACAATTATGTTACCGAGTTATTATTAAGATGACACTTGAGTGTGTTTTCAGGGATATCAAAATTTTTATCTTGTTCAGATTAATATTGTACATTTACCCTTGGTTATTGTTTTCTTTTTCTAAACATTACATTTGTTATTTTTCATAGACACTCAGTAGATTTTATTGCGCATTTACATTGGTTTCTTTAATGTCTCCCCCCCTTTTTTTTCACCCTGGAATTTTTCACAGAATCATAAAATTTCAGAGTTTAAGACCTTAAGGTCACTTATTACAAATTCATGATTTTTTTTCTTAATAATATTTAAACTAGTATATATATATTTGAATCCTCACTCAAGGATACTTCTCCATTTATTTTCAGATAGAGTGGGAGGGAGAGGGGGGAGAGAGAGAGAGAGAGAGAGAGAGAGAGAGAGAGAGAGAAAGAGAGAGAGAGAAAGACCGATGTGAGAGGGACACATGGATTGGCTGCCTCCCGCACAACCCCGACTGGGACCGGGGATTAACTACAACTGAGGTACGTGCCCCCGACCAGTGTTGAACCCACAACTCTTCGGTCTGCGGGCCAATGCTCCAACCGCTGAGCTAAACCGGCAAGGGCTAAACTAGTATTTTGAAAGATTATAAATGTCATGCTGTCACGTTACCAAAAATTGAAAAGTATACACAACACACAAGTCACAGAATAATATTTCTAAAGTCATTTTGGAATATTTCCTTTTCGTATATATATGTATTTTTTTATCCTCACCCGAGGACATTTTTTCATTTTTTGTTCAGATAGAGTGGGAGGGAGAGAGAGAGAGAGAAAAAAACATCGACATGAAAGGGACACATCGAGTGGCTGCCACCCGCATGCCCAACCAGGGCCGGGGACAAACTGCAACCGAGGTACACGCCCTTAGCGGGAACCGAACCCGGGTCTCTCTGGTCCACAGGCCGACACTCCAACCACTGAGCCAAACCGGCCAGGGCTCCTTTTCATATTTTAATCTATGCATTTTTTATGTAGTTGGAAGTATACTTTACTACAATTAAAATTTTTATTTAATTTTTTGGCTAGGTAACCATATGCATATGGTTCAAAAATCAAAGAATAAACATTTCCCAGTGAAAGAGCTCCCTTAGTGGGTTATGCCGTGATTCACTTAACCGTTCTCCTATTGGACATTTAGAGTCCTTCTGATATTTTTACTGTTATAAGTAATATCATAATTAATATCTTTCTGTATATAAAATTTCTCATATTTTAGATTTGATTATTCCCATGTTTGTAAGAGGAGTTATGAACAACTCCCAGGGAGCTTTCTAAGCTTAACAGTTTTGGTATATTTGTGCTTTTAGTCACATAAGACCAAGTTGCTTTTCTAAAGGATTGTACCAATTTATATATTGTACCACCAACAAGGTATAAGTGTAGTAGATTAATCTCTGTCTTGTTAACACTGGGCATTATCACTTAAGAAAAGAAGTTTTATTAAAAAAACTTATTAGGAAAAAAGTATATGTAATTGTTTTATTAACATTTTTATTACTATTGAAGGTGAATTTTCCCTATATAATTATTTATCATTAACCTGCGCCCTCTCTTATTTAAAAAAAAATTTCATGTAGTTTACATGCATACATTACATTTAGCAACATGGCATAAATTAGACATAGGTGGGACTGAAAATGAAAAATAAGGATAGGGAATTAATAGAATTAGAGTAATATAAAAATTTATTACAAAAAGGCTCATACTTGCTTTGGCAGGAACATAAGTTTGATTATATGATTGTATGATGGCTAGTAGTCATTAAGGAAATAGTATCTAAGTAAATCAGTGTGCCTGCTGTGTGTCTCCCAGCCCACCATCTGTCCATATCTCTAATTTATCTGCTACCCCCAACCACACACGAGTCATGGAGCTGCCATTGCTGCTGAGTCTGGGCTCAGAATCTCACAGACCTGAGTCAGTGTCCAGTTTTCCCAATGACTAGCAGTGTGACCTTGAGCGTGTTATTTAACCTCAATCAGCCTCATTTTCCTCATCTGTAAAATGGGCGCAGTGAAAACTATTTTACATAGGTTCAAGGATTAAATTAGAGCATGTGTGTAAAACAGTGCTCAGAGTAAGAATTTAAAAATGATGATTAGTAAATAATAAATATTCATGTCGATTCCTTCTTTTGTTCCTGATTTCACAGTCCTGTCATTTTTACAAGTGTGGAAACTGATGCGTCAGTGCTTCAGAAAAGTCCCTGAGGCCATTCGGAAAACTAGTAACCGAACACCGCCCAGAGTCTTAAGTGTCATTCTTCCACTGTACTATGATTTGAAAACAAATCCTCTTGGCAGATTGTTTTTTTTTTTTTTAAACAAGTGTTTTACAATGATTTCACATAATCTCTGGGGATTATGCTGATGTTTTATCTGAATTTTCGAAGTTTCACTTTCTAGAGATCTAAGCTGTGTCTGATTGATCCCAGCCTTCCTGCTTCTTCCTTCCCTCCCTTCTTTCCTTCCACAAACATCTATTGAACTTAATTTGAGCAGGTCATGGCTTAGGCTCTTGTGATCTACAGTTGCATGACAGCGTCTCCCTCCTCAGAAGGTCTCTGTGTTCTGGGAAGGACAGTCATGGTCATGGGAACAAATATGACAACAAAATCTCATAAAAGCTAATAGAATTATATGCTCTTAGTTTTAACTATATATGTCCTTATCAATTAACTATGACAGAAAAACTCAAATAAAACTTCAGAGAGTATTTTAGAGTCTTGAATCAGAGAGCATGGAGGAAAGACGTTCCCTGGAGAGGAAACAACATATGCAGACAGACCTAGCCGTGACAGAATATGGCTTATTTGGGAAGTAGTCTTTCTTTCTTTCTTTCTTTCTTTCTTTCTTTCTTTCTTTCTTTCTTTCTTTCTTTCTTTCTTTCTTTCTTTCTTTCTTTCTCTCTCTCTCTCTCTCTCTCTCTCTTTCTTTTCTTTCTTTCGTAGCTGGAGCAGAATGTGCTTGTGAGGACTTGCTGGAGATGAACCCAGAACAGGGGGCAGGAGCAAGCATGCAAGTCATGTGCAAAATATTGGCCTGCAGCCTGTCATCAGTGGGTTGGGTGCCCCGTGGACATGTCCAGTTCTGCAGCGAATTAGTGTCCACATGGAAGGAAGAGGGGTTGGCTGGCAGGAAACTTGGGTGGAAGGAAGAGCAGCCGGGAGGGTGGGAGAGACCACGCGTGTGGAACAAAGATGGCGGCCCCGGAGCAAAGGGGAGCAGACAAAGAGCACACTGGAGACAGAACTGGCAGGACATGCCGACTGGGCTGAGGTGGCAGGCAAAGATCAGGTAGATCAAGGACCACTTGAGGGTCAGTGCCTGAGTGGATGGAAGTGCCATTATCTGAAATGTGTTCCAAAGAAGGGGCAGATTCTTAAAGATAATGAGTCCTGATCTGGGAATGTTGAGCTCAAGGTAATTTTGAAACATTCAAATAAACATATCCATCTGACAGCCGACTCTATGGGCCTAGAGCTGAGGACATTCTGATTCAAGAATTACTGATGCTATCAAGAGACCCTTGAAAGTTTGGGACTCAAATTAGTATCATGCATATCTACATTTATTTATTTATTTATTTATTTATTTATTTATTTATTTTACCCTCACCTGAGGATGTTTTTCCATTTATCTTCAGATAGAGTGTGAGGGGGAGAAAGAGAGAGAGAGAGAGAAACACTGACATGAGAGAGACACATCGACTGGCTGCCTCCCACATGACCCCGACCAGGGCTGGGGATGAACCGCAACCGAGTCACATGCCCTTGACCGGAATTGAACCTGTGACTCATTGATCTGCAGACTGATGCTCCAACCATGAGCCAAACCGGCCAGGGCCATACATATCTCCTTTTTTTTTTTTTTCTTTAATTCTCCCTGAGGATATTCTTGTATTTATCTTCAGATAGAGCGAGAGAGAGAGAAGAAGGAAGAGAGAGAGAGAAACATTGATGTGAGAGAGACACATGGAGTGGTCGCCACCCACACGACCCCAACTGGAGCTGGGGACAAACTGCAACCAAGGTACATGCCCCCAGCGGGAACTGAACCCAGGACTCTCTTGTCCACAGGCCGACGCTCTCACCACTGAACAAAATTGGCCAGGGCCATACATATCTACTTTTTTTTTTTTTTTTTTAATCCTCACCTGAGGACATTTTTTCGATATTTTGTTCAGATAGAGTGGAAGGGAGAAAGAGAGAGAGAAACATCGACGTGAAAGGGACACATCAAGTGGCTGCCACCCGCACGACCAACCAGGCCCAGGGGCAAACTGCAACCGAGGTATGCGCCCTTAGCAGGAACCGAACCCGGGTCTCTCCAGACCACAGGCCAACGCTCCCACCGCTGAGCCAAACCAGCCAGGGCCATACATATCTACTTTTGAAATAACTTTCCTGCCCTCGCCGGTTTGGCTCAGCGGTGGGAGCGTCGGCCTGCGGACCAGAGAGTCCCAGGTTTGGTTCCCGCTAGGGGTACGTACCAAAAAAATAAAATAACTTTCCTATTTTATATATGAAATATGAATGTATATAAGTTGGGATGAAGGATATTAGCACTGGGTTGTTCATCAGTCATTCACTATTGAGACCAGTGGGCTTTAAAGGTTTGCATCCCTGCCCTTGCTGGTGTGGCTCAGTTGGTTGGACTTTGTCGCATGCACCAAGAGATCACAGGTTAGATCCTGGTCAGGGCACATGCCCTGGTTTGGGGCTAGATCCCCAGCAGGGGGTGTGCAGGAGGCAGCCCATCAATATTTCTCTTTCCCATCAATGTTTCTCTCTCTTTCTCCTGCTTCTTCCTCTCTCTCTAAAAAAATCAATAAAAACATATACATTAAAAAAAAATGTTTGTATCCCCTAATGCTGGTTCTGCAAGAGGCTTTAGGTGGCAGCGGAACCACGGGTAAACAGGAGCCATGTAGTACTACCCACAAAAGTCACCCAGTGATGACTGTGTTTTTGCATTTTGTTTGCAGAGACTATGGATATAAAAGTGTCATTCTCCTTCAAGGGCATGCTGATCCCTAAGGTATTGTCTAAGAGTAATTTTGTACTTTCTTAACCTTTGGCTACACAGATGTGTGAAGAATTTGAATAAGCAATTCGCAACTTCTAAAAATCGATATTCAAGATTTCCCCCCTACTTTTATTTGGTTTTGGGTATTTTACCATTTCTTCTTTCCGAAGAATATGGAAATATAAAAAAGTGATGCAATAGAAAGCTTTTTCACTTCATGTTTTTCCTCTAACAACCACAGCTAAAAGTAATGCAAATGCTTATTATTAATATGTTGAATGATTCTGGGGTGAAAGCATTGTACGACCACCGTCTAGAACTTTGCAACTGCCTCTATGAATAACAACCATGTGATTTGTAGATGTTTGCATTAGATACCTAGCAATGAAATTTTGCATGTTTCACTTTATTTAAAAATAAGGTTTAACAATGCGTATTCTTTACTGATGATATCTAATGTTTGAAAATCTCCTAGGCTAGTCTCGAAAGATTGTTTAAAAACAAACTGTCGTAATTGGGAAGAAATGTTTCCTGAATTCAGACATACAGAATTTCATTTCACTAGAAAACTGAGAAAATGAGAACCAATCCAATTTAAATGATCTCCTCCCAGTAAGAAAAAATTTCTATAAAATTCTTACAAAATAGAAGCATCTAACATTTTATATTACTTGTGTTTCTTATTCCTCATTTTAGGGACAACACAGATGTGTTGTGGAAGCTTTCACCGGGGATCCTGAAAAAATGCTCTTTTGTTTGAATTTTACCATCATACACCACCCCAATTTCAATTAGAATAAATCTAGTATAATTTTATTTTTCAAAGGTTTTATTTTTCACTTAATGTTTTTTGCACAGTGTATTCGTTTGCTAGGGCTGCCATAACAAATATCTCACAGTGGGTGGTCTAAACAATAGAAATTAATTTTTTCCCAGTTCTGGAGGCCAGAAATCCAAAATTAGTGTTGGTGGGTTTGGTTCCTTCTGCGGCCTCGCTCCTTAGTTTATTGATATATTTATTGAGTTATTTATTTATTTATTTATTTATTTAAAAATATGTTTTTATTGAATTTTTTTAGAGAGCAAGGAAGGGAGAGAGAGATAGAAACATCCATGTGAAGGAGAAACATCAATTAGTGGCCTCCTGCACGCCCCCTACTGGGGATCGAGCCCACAACATGGCCATGTGCCCTGACCCGGAATCCAACTGGGACCTCTCAGTCCATGGGATGATGCTCAGTCCACTGAGCCACACCCGCTGGGCGAGGCCTCGCTCTTTAGATTGTAGATAATCTTCTTCACTTGTCTTCACATGGTGTCCCTCTGTGTGTCCTTTAAGGACACCAGTCAGATTAGATTAAGGTCCACCCATAGGACCTTAGTCACCTCTAAAACCCTATCTCCGGATCCAGTCACCTTTGGAGGCACTGGGGGTTAGGGCTTCAGCACATGGATTTTGAGGGGACACAGTTCAGCCCATAACACACAGGTGATGAAATCTCTTGAATTGGTCAACTTTTCTCCACTTCCTGCCTCTGCTCTGGGGCAGGTTAGCAGTGTTGCCTCCTGACTGATCTTCCTGCACCTGGCCAGGTGCCTCCGGTCAAGTGTTCTCCACAGAGACAGTGGCAACATTGCTTTCAAAATACAGGTCCAGTCATGTCAACACAGGCAAATGGAACAAAATGAAACAAAAACAAACAAAGTCCTGCCTGGGGTTTTTGATTCCTTCTGGGGTGAGGTTGTAATCTCTGGAGGGCCTGCTCGGCCTTGCCCATCCTTCCTCTCTCTGGCTGTTTCTCCCACCACCTTCTCCTTGCTGTCTGTGTTCCAGAAGGTGCCATCGTCCACACCCCTTCGCCCACACCCCTCGGCCTCAATTCCACTCCCCCACTCTCCCCTGCACGCACCCTCCACTCTGTAACGGGTGTGGGTCTTTGTAGGGAGTCATCAGCAGGTAGCGTGGGGTACACCTCATACACGGTGATACTGGGCAGAGGCAGTCCTGAGTACATCACAGAGAAACCGTGTAGCACAGAGCCTTGCTGCCAGGCTCCTGTGGCTGTCTTGGTCCCCTAGATCCTTTTTCTCTACCCACCTCTACCTCACGCAGGCAGGGCCAGCTTTCTTTGTAGACCCGTGTTCCTTCGTCACAGCACTCACCACTCATTCTGTCATTACTTCAATCATCTTTCACTAGACTAAGCTCCAGGAGCCGACGCAGCGTGGTCAGTCAGTTTTGCTCAACGCTCTTGACCCAGCACCTAGCATAGAACCTGACTTGGATTTGCCTGAATCCTTATTTGTTGAATGGATAAATGAGCATTTTCTTCTTGAAAAAGAAGAAAATGTAAACAATACATAACTATAGAAAGCAAAATATTCATGCAATCATTCTACTAATATTTGTTGAGCACCTGCTATATGTCAGTCCTTGTTCTGGGTATACGGAATTTAACAACCAAGATTAAAAAAAAAATCCCTGCACTTATGGAGCTTATATTTTTGTGGGAAGAGACTGAAAAAAGTGAACAAGTAAATGATAGAGTACTTTAGAAGCAAACACACTGTGTGGTATGAAGAACATAAAAGCAGAGGGGAGGTAGTGGTGGTTGTTTTAAATAGGGTGGTCAGGAAAGAGCTTACTGATAAGGTGATGTTTGAACGAGCTGAGCGAGCAAAGCCACGTGGCTTTCTGGGAGTAAAGACATTGCAGGTTGGGAGAGCAGTTTGTGTCAAGGCCCTGTGGTCGGAGTGTGTCTGGTGTGTTTGAAGAGGAACAAGGATCTGTTCACGTGGAGTGAGGGGAGATGAGGTCAGAGAAGTGTGTGTGTTGGGGTGGGTGGGGTGGCACGTGCTGTAAGGTTTGATAGGCTATTGTTAGGACTTGAGCTGTTGTTCTGAATGAGATGGAAAGCCACTGGAAGATTTCATGTTGGAGAATGACGGCTTGCATCTTAAAAAGGCTTTTTCTGAGCCATCTGCTTGGGCATGGAGGGAAAAACACACACACACAAGAAATTTTTTGTGGTAATCTAGGTAGAAAAAGAAGGAGAAATTCAGGTGGCGTTTGAAGTAATCCAGGTAAAAAGATAAGGGAGGAGATGGTGAGAAGTGATCTGTGCTGGATGTATTCTGAAGGAACAGACAGCTGCAAAGATACTTTTGCCTATGTGTTGGATATAGGATATGGAAGAAAGTGAGGAGTCAGGGACGATTCCATCTTTTTTTTTTTGCTTGAGCAAATGGAAGATGGAGTTGCCATTACTTGAGATGGGAAGTCAGGAAGGAACTGGTTTTGGGGGATAGGAATCAAGAACTTGATTTTGGACATGTTGAAATATATATTAGACATTCAGGTGGAGACTTTACAGATAAATGAGTCTGAAATTAAGGAGAGAGTTCTGGGCTAGAGATAAATATTTGGAAATTGTCAAAATACAGAGAGAAGAAGTGTAGACAGAGGAAATGAGAGGTCTAAGAACTAAACCCTGGGCCACTTTTGTCACCAAGAGGTCAGGCATTTAAGAGGAACCAGCGAAAGAGAAGGTGTGGCCATGGAGGTTTGAGAAAAACCTGGAATATTGGTCTACTGGAAGCCAGACGAAGAAACTATTCCAGTTGTTTTGATATGCTAAGTTAAATAAGATGAAGACTGAGTGTTGGCCTTTAAATTTAGCAATGTGGAGCTCATCTGTGACTTGAAGTCACCAATAGAGAGCCCTCTAAATTTCCCAAGCATCAATTCCAACTACACGCCACCCAAATGTGGGGGCCATATAGTAAGCTCTCTGCGTGACCCCGTGGAATTCCCCCTCACTAAGGTTGAGGTAGGTGTGAAGGTCCTTCCCATTTATCCCCTTAAGAGGACGGGTTCGGAGATGAGGCTCACAGCACAGCCTTCTTCAAAGTACACTCCACAAAGCTCCTTTAAGATCCTCCCTTGGATCAAAAGGTAGCTTGAGCTTTTAATATACTTGACACAAATACTTTATGTGCTTGATGTAAATACTTTTCATAGACTTGATGTCTCATAACCCATTCCATAGCTCTTGAAAACTTGACCTCCTGGAGGGGTTCAGGTGTTGTGGAGTGGGTCAGCAGACATTTCCTGTCTCCTGATTTTGTTCTTGTATACAACACATCCCCAGCTCCAGGAGTCAACCCTGATTGGCTAGATCAGCCAGTGTGGGGAATCCCCCAGGGGATTTTACTGGTCCAGGTTGGGCACATGATCAAAGTTGGCTCAATCGGACTGCAGCAAAGGACTAAAATTCCTTGGCTGTTTCACTGTATGTAAATAAAGAGGAATGTTGACTTCATTTCTGCTCATAATCATGCATCTCATAACCACAGGGGGAACAAGGCTTAGGATGGAGGAACTAATTATATTTTGTTTATTTAATTTTTATTTTTTCCATCACCATTTATCCCCTCTAAGCCCTCTTCCACCTCCACCCCTCATAATCACCACACCGTTATCCAAGTTCATGAGTTCTCTCTCTCTTTTTTTTCCCGCTCAACACAATGTTTGTGAGACTTGTTCAAGGAGGAGCTAATTTTAAAGGAATAGTGAGGGATTTTATAATGTACCCCCCCACACACACAATATCTCATTTGCTGTGTTTCAGTTTGATTTACGGGTGCCAGGAACCACCCTGATTTTACTGACAGTGCATTCACAAACCTTTCTTGTAGTATGGGAGATGACTTTGCAGAGAAATGTCCAATAGGAAGCCAGGTAACTGGATTGCAATGTCTTGATGAGATCACCATGTTCTGCAGGCATTATCTTTGGTTTTGCAGGTAAAAAAAAAAAAACCCTAAATTTTTTTCAGTTCAATCAGACTTCATCAGCATTACTTGGGATACAAGTTTGGCTCTTGGGGCAAAGACCTTATATAACAGTGACTTAAATCAGATAGAAGCTCATTTCTCTCTATCTAGGACTGCTGTAGCACCTTGAGGACCAGGGACCTTCTGTCTGGTCTTGCTCTGATTGGTCCGAAATGGCCCATGACTGTATCTGAGACCTAGATAGCACCTTTCCATGAACAACCCCACTTAAAAATTTTCTATAAACATCAGACATCACTCTTAGTTCTTGTTGATTACCGGTCTTTCATAGCTCATAAAGAGTTAATAACTTGTTAAATGTTCCTTAACTATTGGCTTTGTGTTCTTTCTCTTGGAGTCAATTAGGGCTTTTAGCAAAATTGCTCTTTGGATGTCTTTATTGTACTTTATAGTATCCTAACTGCCTTCTTCACCTCAGATTTCAATCCATCCCACATGTTCCATTGTTAAGAAAATTAAAGTTTATGGAGCCAAACTTCCCCCTACACCTGAAATATTTCTTGATCTCATATTTCTCCTCTCAGTTTCTCCCTGCCCGCCTCAAATAACTGGCGTCACCTTTCAGTCAGTTCCTCAGGTGAGCTGTACAGGAATTGTTCCCGGGCATTTCCACGCTGCCTGTGGAAGAGGGAATTTCACTTGTGAAGTATGAAGTAATTTGCAGCCATTCTACCTCTCTGAAGTTATTTTAAAATTACACCCTTTGTCCTTTTTAATTCTCATCTCTCCTCTAGTGAGCAAATATAATTGTTTTTAGAAATTTCTCCTTGATCTACAAACATAATGTAAAGAAATCCTGAAAATAGCAATTTTTAAAATTCTGATTAGTTTACAGCACCATCATGAACCTATGATGGAAAATCCTATGGTTTGTGGAAAAAGCCGTTTCCCTTACCTTGATTACATTTAGGAATTAAGAGCATGATTGTCATGGTTTACTTGTGTGGCCCCGGGCCGCTGAGGCTGAGACTGACTTGGGCTGCCGTACTGCACAGAGAGCTGTGGTGGCCAGTTTTCAAATGCACCACAAGGGCCAGATTCGCAGAAGCCGGGGGAGACCTAGAACAGGGCTTATTCTACCTGAGATTGCTCCCTGCAAGCCAGAGGTT